CCCTTTTTTTATTATTTTCCTTATCTTACTTTATGTTGTGTAACTTGAATTATTGTACATAATTATGTGTATTGTACATAATTATGTGTATAAGCAGGTGTTTCCACACACACACACACGTGTAGACAGCCCGCCACTAGTCGAACTCATTAACCTTCAGAGTCGCGACAGAAAAAAAACAGAGGTGGGAGTGCTTACAAGCCGCAAGCTGCTAATGCAGTCTAGAATCTCATTCAGCTGGAACAGTAGAATACTTGCGTATGAAGATATCAGTGCTTGAAGAAATCAAAAACAGAAAAAGCATGAATACCGGTTTCTTATTTTGAAATGATTCCGAAGCATATCTTGGGTTTAACAGTTTTTTTGCTGTTGCATGATCACTGTTCGTGCTTCAGTCGTTGCAGTCTGGTTTTGTTGCCAGCAAAATCCTTATGTTTTCCACTGATTAACTGAATCTCGGTTCAGATTCCCTTGTGAATTTATTATGCTGAACAAGGGATTACTGTGGTGGTTGAAAAATTAGAAACGAAAGAGAGAGAGGAAAATTAGAAATGTGGTGAAGTGTAGGAATATGAAGGAACAAAAGGAGAAGATTAAGAAGATATCGTGAAGGGAGCCCGGCTGTCATGTATTTTTCATATGTGAAACTATTCAACCTGCGTTTCAGACCTTAACTGAAAATACAAACAGCAGTTGGATGTGGGTAGGGGTGAGAGTCATCAGTACAGACTTCTACAGGCCATTTTCGGAACAGCAGCCAAACGTGGATAACGGGGTGGGAGTCATCAGTAGAGACTTGTGCCTACCATTTTCCTTTGTAGCAGGAGATATCTGAATCAAAGAGCATGCCTGTTGGCTTAAGTGGTCTTAAGTTGAAGGCTCTTACCGCAAAAGTCGCTTAGGCTCAGATTTGTTTTATTCGTCGTTACTTTATCTTCCCTTACAATGCAGTGCTGTGCCGTTCTCTTTACTGTTGTGTTCGGTTCCTGCCTCCTTCATGCCTCAAAAGCTACATCGCAGTCTTCTTGGATCAGTCAATATCTCAGTCTCCTCTCCCCAATCCCCTCCCCTCCCTTATCCCAATTCTCCGCTGCCCAGCCACCACCACACCTCTTTTCTTTTCCACTCATCATCCCTAGATCTGCATCACCTAGCGTGGGGGAGAAGGGGGGGGGGCGTTCACCCTGCTCTGCTTATCTCATTACTTTCACTAAACTCACAAATAAGAGCATAATGCGCGACCAAGCTGAATTTTAATAGACATCTTTCTAACTTCTCCTCTGCTCCGAACCACTATGGACCAAACCCGCACCCTCTCCCTGTTTTTCACTCACCACCTCTTAAACCTACGTTACCCAACAATTAGGGTAATGTTACCTATCACCACAGCAGTTTTAGCAGTTTGCACCCCGACCGATGTCAAGCCAAGATGAGTTTTAGTAGTTTCCCAAGAAAACGATAAAACAGACAAAGCCCTGACAACAAGATCCTGTAAAAACTAAATCACGCAAACAACTACCGAAATGCTAGCTATCAATAACGCTTTTGAAGTTTAAAAACCGGCTAAGAATTGGTAGCAGCGATCATATGTTGTTCAAAAGAAACTGATATAGAGAAACTGTCTATGCCATTAAAAGACAAAATCGGTATTCAACGAACGCCATAGTGATCTGCTCGATCGATTCCCACGATAACGATGAGAGATGTTCCGATCTCGGCCTTACTGTTGTAAGTTCCTTGCAATCTGTCAAAGATTTCACTGCTAAAAACAACATTCGTGAAGATGGTCATACTACTTTTGCTGTTCTTGATGCTGCGATTGTTGCGTGGTGCTTTCCAACTCTGAATCTCGTCGTCTGCTTGATGCATAGGCAACAAACATTTCTTTCAAAAACGATAACTCTTTCTGAAGACCTTCGACCTGAAACAGCAGCATCGGAGTGGCACGCACACAGGCAGAAAAGATTTGTACAGAAATATGTTCTTCACCTTATACGATTAAAAACGAATGCGGTGTAAAAATGAACCTTCCTCTCCAAGTCGGCATTCTCCTTCCTCAGCTCTTCTACCCTCACCATCGTATTCGCCTCTTCCTGACGCTTCTTTTGCCGGGTCCTTAAAACATGGTTATGTAAAACTAAACTTGAAACTAGCATTAGAAGGATTAGAATCTAGGCGCCAAGGATGTATGGAAAATCTGATAGATGTTAGGTGCGTGTGGCTTATATAATAAATACATTTTGATGTGACTGTTGAAATTAAAGAGAAGTGAAAAGGAGGGGGAGAGGAAGTGAGGAAAAAAATAATACAGTAAAAAAACCTAGCATGCAAGAAAAACAGTACTCACGTTTTCGTATAAAACTTCGTAGAAATTAAACAAAAAACCCCAAGTGTTAGTCGATTTCGAAACTAGCAGGTACTGTGGTTCACTTCAAAGCTCTGATGCACTAAGTTATGTGGAACTGCTGTCAGCCAACGTCTTTAGAGAAGACAGCAAATCTCTGGAGGCAACAGGCTTCTGTCGAAACGTTCAATACACAGTTTTAACTTTAATCCACCCACGAGCGGGTTCACGACAGCCTCCTGGGAAGGGGGAAGAGCCGGGGAGGAGGAGGGAAAATAGGTCTGTAGGTGGGGAGACGGGGGAGAGGGAGGGAAATGAGATTCCTAGGTGGGGAGCGACCAGAAGTGAGGGAGAGAGTTTTGC